GTGATTTTTGTGGATGAAATAAGGTAAACAAAAATGAAACCATTCTCCCTAAACTACTTCTAGAATCCTAAAGTTGGAATAGAAAAGAAATATGAAATTTTGACTAAAGTTGGCATCTTTTAAGTTAATATACTTCTCTTAAAAATGCCCAAATATACATTTTGTTAATTTTTTTCATATTTTAGCAAAGCAGCCAATTTTATTATTTCCAAGCTATTTTACAGAGTGCCATGTGTTGAAAGCACCCAAAGGCTATAGGTTATAACCCTTGAATCAGTGGCTTATACTATTTGCTATTCTTCATGTTCTAGAGTAAGTAATGTAGCAAATTTATGTATTTTCTTATTAAAAAAGCATGTCCTTTGTTCTGCTATCAGTGCTCAGAAGGATGAAATGAGATTGTCAATATATCTATGCTACACAAGCTTGATAACTTGGAAAGTCTGAATTTATAAATTTAAAGTTTCAGGTAGGTATATATAATAACCTACAACAGCAGGAAAATACCAATAGAGTTTAGTGATAGAATCCAGACCAAAAATCTAGATAGGTAAGGAACATCAAAGCCTGTCAAACCCACATTTAGTGACTCCATAATAAAATATGTTCCCGAGAATAAGAAAGAGCTACAGGTTTTACAACTGCTAGGAAGGATGTTTCTATTGGGACAGAAGCAACAATTATGGAATGCATTCACCCCAAAGTATACAATTGACTCAATAGTGTTTATTCCTGATATGGATATTTCAAGCCTCTAAGTCTTAATTTAATATAGTGGGAGTTAGGTTCTGTTACCAAGGAGGCTACAACTGAATCCTGAGATTGAGCCAAAATTATTCACACCTGCAATGCACATTTATCTTATATCTATTTAAGTCAAACACTTTATTATATTTATAGGAAGATGTATTTATTTGGACCAGATATATTGCAAATATGATATTACTACCATTTTGGCATATTGATGTCACAGGATTTAGGCAACCCTGCCAAATCTCTAAAATAAGGTTTTTAAGCAGCTAATAACCTAGAAAAACGAACAACAGTTAGAGACCTAACAGGATTACAAATAAATGAAAATCTAAGTTGAAGAAGAATGAGGAATTCATGGAAACTAGCCAAAGCTCTAAAGCCAGAGAACTGAAAGATCAAACAATTCTTTTCTAAAAGGAGGGAGAACAAAAGAGTTGAAAGGTTAAATGAACACATAAAAATTGTTCTTTCCAAAGAAAATTAAATATGTATGTATGCATATATGTATGCATGTATATATGAAGAAAGCAAAGAACAGGAAAATAAATATGCCCTAACTTATTTTCCCTGATGCCAAGAAAATTTCTAAAGTAAATTTCTCATTTTTGAGCATTATAGAAACAAACATGCAAGGATATATTCAGGTAAGTCAACTTAATCTATAAATATCAGTTTATAGGCTCTCAATTTGGGGATGTATATTAGACCCCCCCCCCTACTGATTTTTTGGAGAAAAAAAATTCTCATCCCATCCACCTTGGAGCAGGGGTCAGGATCTGGAGGGACGGGGGTTGTATTTATTATTTTTTTTTAATTGAGGTAACATTGGTGTACAACACTGTATATGACTCAGAGGTGTAGGATCACAGCCCTTCAGATGGATGTGAGCACATCACATCCACCACCAAGGAACTTATAGTCCTCCACCATAGTCCATTGGACCCCTAGATCTCCCCATCCCACAGTCTGGGAGCCTCAATTCTACAATCAGACAGGAAGAAAAGGAGGGTTAATATCGAAAAGCATCCTCTATGGGTTCTGATTTCCTGTGGCATCTAGAGCCACATGTTTGGTTGGTGATTTACTGAACCTGTGAAAAGATCAGAAAGGATGTTTAAGAGAGAAAAACTCACCTCTGGAAAACTCTCCTGACCTGGGGTGGGAGAAGCTACTTAATTGGACAGGGCCCTGATTCACATTTCAGAATTACTTGGCACTGATGTCTCCCTCACAAAGGAATCCTGGGTAAAAGGGAAGATGCAGCATCGAAAGAGGGAGAAGGAGGTGCCAAGATTTTGACAGATGATAGGGGACATTCTCCAGGTTGGGAGCAATATCACAAAGATCTTGGTGTAGCTCAGAAGGGTATTTCCTAACCCCTGCATAGATTTATTTTCTCCAGCCTTTACTGGACAAGGGCCTAAAAAGATCAGATAAAGCTGAGAATGGGAACTCAGAGGGTATTTTCTTGGCTTAGGAGAAAAGCACAGGAGGGAGAGTTAAGGCCAAGAGCTATTTCTAGTTCAGGGTTCTGACTAGGGGACCATGAAAAGTAAGAAGGCCAATGTGGGAGGTTGTTTTGTAAGTCTGACCAGACCCCCAAAAAAAGCTAGACTCTGGAGGCTTGTGTGGGAGGGTTAAATGATAAGAGGGACCTCAATATTGTCAGTATACCTGGGGGGAACATGGGCAAGACTGGGTGAAGAGCCAGGAGTAGTTCTGCAACAGGGTGGTCCCCAGGAAAGGGGGAGGTTCCCTGCCCCACCCAAGGGAGGGTGGAGCTGAGCAGGATGAGGAGAAGCTGGAGAAGAGACTGAGGAAGGAAGCAGGATGGAGCCAGGAGACCTGGAGGAGGCGCATGGAGCCTAGAGACACGTGAAGAAACTGCGTGGACTGGGTAACACAGATGTGGGTGAGACCCATGGGGAGGTGACCATGGCAGCTTTTATCTTGATGTTGATTTTGCTCTTTTCCTTTCGGGCTTGTCCGGTTGTTTGTGACCCTTTTCTGTGGGTCCCCACTGGAAGATGTTTTAGACTTGTGGCAGGCTTTGGGGCCTTGCTCTGGGCCAATCCCATATGGATGGACTTTTACCCACGAGGGGATGGGTAACTTTGGGTGCTTCATTTAGAAACTAGACTCTTTGCCTTTCCTGTGTTGTTTCCTAATTTTATTAAAGTTCCTTCCCATTAAAGTCTCATATGTTTTGTGTTGATGCGGCGGATGGCAGAACCCATTTAAAATAGGCAGGTTTGCAGGGTTTGGGCTGCCCCTCTCCCTGCCCTATAACAGTTCCTGTGCAAGAAAGTCTTGCAGGAGTTTCACCCCTGTAAATAGCTCCGTTTTCCAGTGTCAGCCCTTAAGCCCTGTGGTAGGAGGAGGAAAGAACAGACACCCCAAGACTCCTGCACTGGAGGAAGAAATCAAGTGAGAAAGGATTCACTGTGGTGTCTCAGGAAAGCCCAGAAGTGCCTGGTAGCCCTTCCTCCTTCCTGGCTGCCTAGGGCCAAGGAGGGTCTGGTGAGGAACAAGGAGGGTCTGGTTTCAGGTTCAGTTCAACAATCTTCCCTCTGTTCCCTCTTCCCTTCCCCCAACTGCAGTAATAGCAGGAAAAGGACCCTTCTGCTCTTAGTTCTGTGCTTGGATGGTGGGGCTTTGTAGTTAGGGACCAAGTGCTCACAATTGCTCCTTTCTTACCTTTGCATTGCCTTGACCAGATTCAACTGAGGCTTCTCTCCCTCCTGCTGGCCCCTGAATATAACATGCCCTGAAATGCAGCCCTGAAATGCAGCCCCGAAATGCAGTACATCCTCCCTCATCCCCTGAGCCCCCAAATAGGTGGATCCCACAGAGACATTCCTAGTTAAATTAAGCAGGGCATGACTTGGGTATAATCCCTCTCAGCTGCCCCACCTTCCCCTTCGGCAGACTTTCCCTATCATATAGGGGCCTAATTCTGCCTGGTTTTGAGAAGTTTACATTTTTTTGAGATCAGAATGGTCTCCTTATTGCCACTGTCTTTCTACTTAAAGTCTCAAAATTCGTGTTTGTTTGTTTGTTTTTGACATTAATACTAGCTAAGAGTGATCCCAAGTGAGTCTGGAGCTCCACTGGTGGGGCATAAAGTCTCCGGGCTGAGGACACATTTGTTTGTCCCTTGGGAAAGGCAAGGAAGCCAGATGAGCTCAGTCGTTTCTTGAACTTCAACTTTCCAAAGGAGACTCAATTTCCAAATAAGGTTCTAGGCCTGCGCTGCAGGGGCCGCTGACTGGGCCAGGGAACAGTTGGCTGAAAACAATAGCGATCAGAGCTTGGGGCTGAGGGTGTGCGCCCTGGGGGAGGAGAAATCAGAGTTCAGCTGCATCCCTGAGGGGTGGGACGCGCGAGGTCCTAAGTGCCAGGTACCAGAAGAGTTTCCAGCAACCGCCCTGGCGCGGGAGAGCGGTGTGGGGCGCGGGTGAGGGGTGGTCCCCAAGTCTCAGCCCCGGGAGGTGGCCGAGCAGGGCAGGCGGAGGCCAGAGAAGCAGCAGCAGCCACAGTAAGCGGGACGGAGTTAGGACCGCTCGGAGCGCCCAGGTCTCGAGGTACTATAAGGTTTGCAATCCCTCCACTTGCAGGCAGTTGCAGGAGATCTGCTTTTAAGTGAAACGTACAAGCAACCCCTCCGAGGGCTGCGGCTTCCTCGGGCTCGCTCCTGTCCTTCTGGCGTCTCCGGCCCTGGCGCTCCCTCTTTGATTTGCACGCGCCCCTAAGTTTGCCCAAAGCTCGCTGCCCGCTCGGAGCACGGTCCGGCCAGGCGCCTCGGGCGGGGGCGGGGAGCCGGGGAGCCGCACCGGAGGCTTCGGGGGCCATGTATATTTCATCAAATGGACTTGGGGTGCGTCGCGTCTCGCAGCCATCACCGCGATGTGCAGTGACATTTCTGACTTGAGTGGAGGAATGCGCGAAGGAAGCCCGGACGAGATTGGTACTCGAGCATCTTCTTGGCGCCAATGCTAATTGTCCTGATTGATGTCCCTTCTGCCTAAGCTCAGCATCTTCATCTGAAATAAAATGAAAGCTGTGCCAAGCGGGGTAGAACCTCCGGGCCGCTGGTTCTGATACCCGGGAATCAGGAGATCATCCTGCAGCTTAAACAATTAAAACGCAAAAAGACAGAGAGCGAGCGAGCGAGAGGAAATAGAATAGGGGGAAAATCCCTCAGTAAAAGTTTAAGGCGAGAAGTGGCAGAGGCAGTGGCGCGAGGAGGCGCGGAGCGGAGCCGGCGAGCCGGCGCCGGGCTGGGAGACCTCCCGAAGCTGGGATTTCATTATTAATATCACTATATTTTTGGAGGGAGAGGCACCTTTCTCATCCTTCTTGCTCTCCGCCCACCCCTGCTCCCTCCCTCTCATCTACCTGTCAAAGTCACTGATCTTTTGCATTTCCGAAGAGGACGTCAACGGGAAGGAATTCCCCCTCTTGGTTTGGCCTCCGAGAGGGGGCGACGCGCGGGAGGGTCCCCCCCAGGGGCCGCGGGCGAAGGTAATTCAGCGGTGGGGAGCGGCGGGCGCGCGGGCGCGGGGCGCGGGGTCCGCGGGGTCCTCTCCAGCCGCGGGCGGGCGCACTCGGGACCCCGGGGGGGCGGGGGCGGATGCTCGGGGGCCCCCAACCCCTTCCAGGCTCCACCCGCACCCCGAGGAGGCTCGGCGGGAGGGCCACCGCCCGCGGGCTCCGCTGCTGCGGCGGCCGCCTGGGGCGCACCCGGCCGGGCAGGGCCGCCGCCCCGCGCCGTCGGCTCGGCTCCCGCCCGGTGCCAGGGCGCACGGGCCCCCGGGTGAGTGCGGCCGGCTCCCTCCCGGCGCCCGCGCGGCTCGTGGGGGCCCCTCTCCCCCGGGCTGCCTCCCCTGCGCGCCCCCCTCCAGGCGCGATCCACAGGCGGGAGGGAAGGTGCTGGGTGGGCGAGGAACTTTGCGAAGCGCCTGGAGGAGGCAGCGCGCGGAGCCTCGGTGCGCACACCACCCGCACGCGGGTCTTCCCGGGGTGCGCCCGGCCGCGCCCGCGCGCGGGGTACCCTGAGCCCCGGCGCTGGGTGGGCGCCCCAGCCGACCGACTGCCGGGCACGGCGGCGCCCCCCGGCCCCCCCCATACTTGGCCACACACCGTGCACCGGATGGAGGGTCCCCGTTTTGCCTTTTCTTTTGCAGATTTCCTTGGCTTTTGGGGCTGGGGCTGGGGGAACCTGTCCTCTGGTCGGCCTCTTGGAGCCGGTGGAAACACTAAGCGCTTTTGAAGTTCTCTGCTTTTATTCTCTTTTATGAGTGCGAGATTAGAGCTTTCCTATCCCATGGTGTGCAGCTGGGGAGCTGGGAGGTTGCAAGAGGGAAAAGACTCGGTGCAGGAATGCTGTTTGGAATAATATTTCCTCAGATTTTTTTTACTGATATTCCATTCATCGGTGGATAGATTGTTATAGGGACATCGAATTTTTCTCCTGTATGGATCTGTGGGTCCCTATATATAATGCAAATAATACTGAGTGTTATTGGGCCCAAAATAACCAATTAAGTGATTCATACACGGGAAAACTTAGATAAAAAAAGAAACTGCGCCCTCTACCGTTTATTTTTATTAAAATAAACCTCGCCAGGGACCTGGGCTCCTCTGCCTCTCGCAGACAATCCACTTAGGAGCTTGTCATTTTTCAGGGCGAGGGAGGCAAATTCCGAGCGGGGATTTTAAAGCAACTTTATTTAGGAAAGTCAAAGGTTGCATTGCCATTACCGCATCGGGTTTAGATTTTTAAAGCGTAGAGAGAGGCTTTTGTTTTCCTACCTCCGCCCTGCATTCTTCATTTTACCCAGGTTTTGGTAATGCAGCCACTCTTTATCATAACAGTTTGTCAGTCTTTGGAATGGAACATTCTGAGTAAGATTCAGAATTCCACTAAACATATGGTGTATCTGGCAGTAGATTTGCTCTAGAAATAAGGCCCCATTTTATGATTGAAAATACTAAAAGTTTTCTTATCTTGCAGAAATGGAAAAAAAAATAAAAAAGGCATAACCAGAAAGGTCTTCCAGCAAAATCATATTTAAGTCTACTTACTGGGTGAGCTTGTTAGAAAAAGTTTTCCAGAAATTCCCCTTTTCAGAGGCGGGGCAAGGTTTTTCTGATTTGTGGAGTCCTTGAGGGCTATCTAGAGATTGCAATCCCAGGAGCATTATTAGCAATTCCAGGTTTCATTAAATATTTTGAACTGTGTCACTTAGAGTGCTTTATACTCCTACCCCCTTTTCTTTGGCAAAAGAAAAGCAGCTCAATAACTATCCAAGATTCTTTTGGAAGATAAGCAACTTTCAGTTTTTCACTAAGATAAAATTTGGATCTTTGCATGTGAATCAGGATGCAAAGGGAAAAAATGCATCAAGTGTTTTACATGTCGCGTTGTTCCTGCATACATTAGGATGTATGTCTTCCTGATGTGAGCAAATGACATCTTCCTGGATGTCATGAAATGGGATGTTTTGCCACTGAAGACCAACATAAGGTCATTCAGAATTTTATCTATTAAGTTGTTCATGCTTTCCATTTAAAATTTAAATATAAGTGACATTTAAAAGAAATAGTCTTGAAATTTTGAAAGTAAATAGTTTACTTGCACAACAGCTTTTTTCCCTATTAAGATTTTTGTTTTGTTAGATTTCAATGAGCATGTGTGTTAAAATGATCCAGGTTACCTTTTTCAAAAGGAGGTGCATGTATTTTGCAGTTTCCTTTTGTATATTTGTAATTGGTATAATACCTGTCTCTACTTCCATGATTATTCTGAAGCAAATCAGGCAACATTAACCATTAAAATTAAACCATTGCACATTTAGTTGATATGTTTTCTAAGTATTGTGAAGACTTGGAGACAGAGTTTGAGTTAATAAAAGCACCAAGTCTCTTGGAAAGAAAAATTCCTACAACTCAGAAAATCAATTATATATTAACAGAAAAATATGTATGGATTATATTACAGGTCAGTAAGAGATTTAGCATACTTAAAGAATAATTTTATTTTGAGAATCCAGTGTTGTGTTAAAAAACTTCAGATGGGTGTAGATTTTCTAAAACATGTCTATGAAACCTTGAATCTCTGAACTTCTCTACATGAGAATGAAGGTTTATTGTTCATGGTGGTGAAACACCAGATTTCTTCTAGACTTAACTGATTCTGAAATAATTTTATGTGTTATGCCATCCTCAAACATCTTGCAAAATATAACTCTCTGATTTCTTTAGTCATTCTTCTCTTCATGAAAACTGTTTTTTTAAAATAGTAAGGTGTGCTATTTAGTTTTATTAAGATCTTATGATAGGCAGTTCTCATAATACCCAATCAAGTATGAGTAAAATATGCCAGTAATGTTGCTGTACATGTTTCATTCCTTATGTTTTCAGAGACAGTTAACAAAAGAATAGAAGCAAATGTTTCCCATTAAGAGGACTAGAAAATGCTTTCTTCACAACAAATAAATACATGCACAGAACATTCAATATAAATGTTAACTATCTCGTCTCGTTAATGTCATGATGACAGTATTGGAAGCTACTGATTTTGAATTTATATATATCTTTTTTTTTTATATTTTTCACTTGATGGGATGTGATTTAGTCAATGTTCTTCTTGTTCCTTTCCCATTCAGAAGCATACATATTTATAAAATTCTTAATGTCTATGAGGAATGAGTCAATAGCTGTCTATTTCAGGTGCCCCTGAAAAGCTGAATATTTATAGAATAAAATAGCCTACTACCACCACACCCACCTCCTAGTGAGATTATCTAATAAAACAAATGCCAAAAGCCAACTACAGCTAGTGGCTTTACTGTCAATATTTTCCTCTCAGTTGATAAAATTGGTGATTGTTTCCGGAATATAAATGTCCATAATTGTAATCATTATTTCATGTAATATTTTGGGAAGCTGCTTTCTTGATGAGAGAAAAGAAAGGCTGGCAAAATCCCTTCTGCAAAGTTAATCCAAAGTGGAAGGGACTTGAACTACAGAATCCTGAAAAAAGATGTTCCATGTACCCAAAGCCATTTGATAGCTCATTTCAGTCTAGATCAATGACATCTATCAACTTGAAGACATAACATAATTTTATATTTTTACATTGGCTGTACAAATGTATACGCTCGTGAGAGATCTATGGGATACTCATGGCATATTAGAAGGCATTTTTATCAAAGAGGACTTCTCGGTACTTTCGTGCACAGGTAGGGTTGATAGTGTTACTTAATTACAGTGAGTTCCCATGTTTGCAAAGTAAGAGCTAGAACTTGAGCTTGCCAAGCCCCTTCTGAAGCTACTCACATTTAGGTGATGCAGAAATGTGAAGGCCCACATTACTTGGCAGTTAGTTCAGTTATTGGTCCGAAGAGATGGGTTTAGTATCTCAAATCCCCAAATATGTCATTGACTACCCTTCTTATAATTAGTTTGTCTAGCTGGGATGACCTAGCTTTTAGGAAACATTTGATGATTTTTAATGGCTGAAAACGTAGCCAGATGGAAACCGATACCATCAGGGAATAGAGGTTAAGGGGTAAATAACATTCTATTTTCATATCATTTTATTTTCTTTGAAAAGTCCGTAACTACATTTTAACACAAAAATTCCTGATTTTGAAAGAGGCTTCCTTCCCATTGCGTGGAATGGAAGTTCTTAGGTTTAATTTCTTATTCATTTTAAATTAATAGGATTTTCTTTGAAGAGTGTGTGTGGCCCTAGACAGCAAGGAGGCCTTAATCTGAAGGATACATACTAGGTGACCTACAAACATGAAAGTTAGAATAAAATCAAATAATTTTTAAAGAACAGCTTAGTGACCCTCTGCTCCTGATCTGTAATATGCCTTGGTCAATACCTTTTTCTGTGTCAATGGGGGCTCATTAAATGTAAATTCTGCAGACCAACTGAGCCATTCCATATTAGTGCTTGCCAAAGCTTGACATTTTTAATACATTAATAATATGTCTGTAATGTAATGGAAAACTATTAATCACAACTGGTTATGTGCCAGAAATTTAAGCTATAATTGGCTCATTTTTATGAAGAATGTCTGTCGCACGGTCCTGCAACTGCCTTATATTCAAATATCTTGCACTTCTCAACATTTTTCCTTGTCAGTTCCCTAAATTCTTTCAATGGTGTAGTCCATAATTCTGTGTAATGACCATCATTATATTCTGGTATACTTTAATGAGAATTTGTTATATTGGGATGACTGTGGGGCCAGGAATAGTAACAGGTTCATTTACATAGTGTATACATTTTTTTACACACACACACACATATATGCATATATGTATGGTCACCCTTTATTTTGTGAAAGTAGTAATGCAAAATATGAAGACAAAGTTATCAAGAATAAGAATTAGGAGTTAACATTTACTGGCTAATAAATGTGATGGTTAATTTCAAGGAGTATTCAGATATACACTTAAGGTCCTATTTTCAAAATATGTTAAAAGTTAATTAATATTGCATACTCATTTCAAACTCAAAACAGTCATTCTAGATCCTCAAGATAATATTGTTCTCCAGAAAGGAGTTGCTATGTACGTGAAAGCAAGAACCAAAGTCAGTAATTTCTGGACTAATGTTCAGTTGTAATGCCTATTCCCCCGCCCCACTCCCAAGAAAGTGTTTGTTCTTTTTATAATAAAGTAGTAAATATAATTGAAAAAAGCATCTAGTAAAATAATTTGTATCATTTTTACACCTTTTTCAGATTATTAATTGTCAAAGTGTTGGATGTTTCTGAAAATATCAAAATCACTAATGAAGCTGAAAAAAGCAGAAGGCTGTAGTAGCCACAACACATGCTTCTGTGTGATTTTTTTCTTTTTAGTTTAAGATTTTAAAATGTGCTCCACACAGTATACTCTTAATGTTATAAGGAAGAGGCAGATTCAAATCTGTAGTTTATACATGTTTAGACAAACTGCTAATTATTGCTTCATAGGAACTCAAATATTCAACACTTTCCTAATAGAAAATATCACAAATTGCAGCTGTATGATAACATTTTATGAATCAAATATAATGAAAATTGCACTTGCATCCATAAAGCAATTATTATAAATTACTTTGCTATGGAAACACAATTCAACCATCTGTTGGCATTTCATAGTCTCCATGGCTTAGTTCATTTTAAGACGGTGCATTATTTAAATCTAGTGAATTTCTTTTACAAGATTGTTTGAAGATAGTGAACTTCTATATTTAAACTTCTTAATATAAATAGAAGGGCCTATAATGGGATTGTCCGGACTGTAGGCTTTATTGTCCATTTTCAGTTGTTTAAAAAAACAATTATTGGGACTATGACAATATGAACCAACTAATTAAGCAAATACACTTCTTTTTACCGGACTTCCAAATGTTATCTTTGTGTTTGGATTTGGACAGTGATCTCTAAAGAGAAAAGTTAGCAGTCAAACATACCAGTGGCCTGTACCCATTGTTATGTAGACTGCACTATCATTTAAACAAAAGTACTTTTGAACAGTAATTTTTATTTTTTCCTAGAATTAGTGCCATATTATTCTGCTTCATGGCCTGTTAATTCACCCTCAGCTATTTTTATATGTGCATTTTGAATTGTGCATTTTAACTACAGAGCTTTTAGTTTTAAAGCAGGGTATAATATTTGCCTTTGGGACAAATTCTCTTCTTCTGTTACAGAAAGTAACTGCAAATGCAGATGTAATGGCTATAAAAAGATGTAAGAAAATAGAAAATTCTTATAAAAGGAAAATTTGCTTCTCTGGTTTTATTTTTGACTATTTTTTTTTTTTCAGAGAGCCGAGGTATCTTTATCAATAAATGCAACTAAAGATGCTAAATTTTTCCAATATAATGAGCAAACCCAAAGGGGCAGGCTTGTGCCAACAATGCCAGTTTTCACTCCAGCTAAGAAAAGCTGAGAACTGTATGAAGAATTTGGAGATGTTTAGGGTCTTTCGCTAGGAGGCAAAAGTATACAAGTATTTGTCACTTCTTTCCTTGTCGTTGTAATAAAAAGCAGTCATTTCCCTTATTGTTCTCATGGAAGATTTTCTAGACTGCCCTATATGAGAAATGTTTAAATCTAGCTGCTTGCTCTCAGTTTTGTTAAGAGGGAAGTATAACTTTTGAAACCAAAACCTGTAACTCACCTGGAACCACATGCATCTGTCATTGTTATGAAGAGTTAAATCCTTCCTATCAAAATTCTTCCTAATGTGAATGATTTCTGTGGTTTGCTCATTCTAGCAAAGTAGCTGAGTAAAGGTTATTCTTATTACACCAATTTGCTTTTTATTGCATCAGATCTCCCAAATGTCAACATATCATACATTTTCTAATGCACTGATTCTGGGACAATAACTCTTACTCTTATTGTTTCTGAAAGGGTGTCGGTGTCAGAAGAAAAGAATGATTGATGGGAAACAGACACCAGGCTACAGACTCTCATCCTTTTGCGTCGGAGGCTGATATGTCACTGCTTGTGAGCATCCCCTGTAAGCTGTGAACATTGAGGATCACCCAGGGTTATTGGATGTACAAGGGGAGAGCCATCACTTTGCTAAATCATTACCTGCTACTGGACACCTTTCACAAAATCCAAACTAGACTCGAGTCTAATAGACATGTTCTAGGACAACGAAAAAGCTACAAGTTGTCACTGCCTCATACCCAAGAAGCATGTTTGGCTTCCACCAAAGTCCTTAATGTACCTGAAGGCACACGCTGTCTACCCACTTTACTTTTAGTTTTGGAACCTGCTTTGAGGGCTTATCTTCTCTCCTTCACTCTCTCTTAATATACAGACCTACCTTCATAGAGACGTATATGTATATATAAAATAGACATAGATCTCAGATAAGCAAACCCTGCTTCAGCTCCCACGAAGATTGCCAAGAATTTAGAGATGTATTTGTCAAGATTCCTATCAATTCATGCCCTTTGGGTTACAGTGTCCTCGGTGATGCAGCCCTACCCTCTGGTGTGGGGACATTATGACGTGTGTAAGACTCAGATTTACACAGAAGAAGGGAAAGTTTGGGATTACATGGCCTGTCAGCCGGAATCCACAGACATGACAAGGTATCTGAAAGTGAAACTGGATCCTCCAGACATTACCTGTGGAGACCCTCCTGAGACTTTCTGTGCAATGGTGAGACAATCTTTATAATTGAATATTTCACATGAAGTGGGGCATGTGTATTCATTCATAGACGCGTCCAAATGGGATGAGCTTAAAGACTCCACTCGTGCAGCGAGCTGAGTCTGCAGGTGGCAGATTTGTGCTAACAGGTTAGCTTCATCCTCAGTGGAGGCTGTATAACCTGGATTACAATATGCAGTGTGATCGATGTTCTGAAAAGTACCTTCTGCTTTTCTGCAAACTAAAGGTTTCACTGAGACAGGTGTGCGCTGTATATAAATGACAAAAGGAAAAGTCCAGCTGAAGTTTCCATTTCAGATTGGAGATCGGGAATATGATTAGGCATTATGTGTTATGTTAAGGATAAAATCCAATGGAAATCAACTTTAAAATCACAAAAGTGTTTTCACATATTTATATAAGTTCAAGCCCAAGTCCCATTGTTCAAAGCTCAATTAGATTTCATGCTTTCCTTGTCAGGAAACCATTGTGATTAATCCTCACTTAGGAGACCTATTTTGATTTCAATTTGCGTAAAGAGCAAACAGGAGGATCTGAACCTGCATGTAAAGCTATGACTTGTTCTTTGTGTTTAGACAAACTTAGCTGTCATATCTCCATGCAGCACACGCGTGGCTTAAAAATGGCAAAATTACCATGCGATCTTTTCCAAAACCATCTTATTTGTTGACTCAAGTAGCCCCTTATTTTCAAGAGCTGCGGTTTCCTATAAGTATTTTGAAGATGACTGTAGGAATATTGAAACATTTGATGAAAAACAATGAGTGGGACATACAAATTTTAAAAACTATCCTTTTGATAATCAAATTTATAGAATTCATAGTTTCATGGGGTGTGTACAATTTTTCCTGGGTGGAAAATTAAATGCTCTGTGAAAAGGAGTAACACACTGAATTTTCACTGTGGATATTGCTGAAAATATACCTGTAAGGTATTAGTAAAGACTTTGGCAATTAAAATGATGTAAGTAGGTGTGTTAAAGAATTTAGACAAGGTATTCATTTGGTTTATGTCATTTTAAAAAATTTTATTATAGGTGGTCTTTATTTGATACAGGATCTATGATTCCGTTTTTCTCCACATAGCACATATAATCGAATGGCAGATTTTAATAGTATTTTTACCTGACTTTATTATCTTGAACTTGGCCTGGCATTTTCAAGATAGTGAAACTATTAATCAAAGTAGCATCTATTCACAGTCCCCAGTGAGTTAAATTAACATAAGATAATCTTAGACCGAACACTGGAGAAAGGTTTTGTAACAGGAAACAATTTTGAGCAATAAAGAGTGTAAGAGTGTATTCACCTAAAAGCAAAGGGCTTGCCATTTTTCAGAAGTGCCTTTGGGGACTGGTTTGAATTATAGTCTAAACCTGATTTTGTGGAGAGTGAGAAAAAGAGCTTGGCTATTAGGTGTCACTATGACTAAAGTGCCCGAAAGACTAAATATTTCAAAAAGAGGACCCATCTCTCTGGGAAACAGGTATGTGCTTTGCAAAGTTGTGTTGTAGAAATCAGAGACTTCCAGAAGAGGATTTTTAAACAAACACATTGGCAGAACTATCATGAACCTGTAAAAGAGCAAAGATATTGGTGGTTTTCTAGAAGGTCTTTAATCATCTCTCATAAAAGGTCAAATTTAAGATCTCATTGCAAATCTGGGATGAAATTGCTGTTCAGATGATAGGGCGTGTAATCTTCCGTGCCTTTTATCAGAGAATGAGTTCTGGGCCACATCTTCATGTTACTAAGACCACCCTAGCTCTATATATTGGTTTGCATGACACTTGTAGCAATATGCCTTTCTGGAATTGTTTAATAATGTATGGATTGAAGAAAAATAGCAAATATTCTTTTTAGAGTGCTGTTCCTACTTGCCTTGGCCGTGGATGGTATGTTTGGGGTATGATGTGAATGTGCAGCTTCTCTGATATCATCCTCTGGCATGAGAATGCCAGCTCAGCACAGCTCCCGACCGTCACGCTGAAGGCTTTACTTGGTGCCCTCAGCATGTCTTTCTCCCATCTGGAGTGGTAAAAGGCCCCTTATTCTTATGGCTACTTTTACAGAGGCATAGTCTAAGTTCCTGAAGCAAACCTCTTCCTACAGTCTTCTGGCTAAGTGATGTCAGACACCAAAAGAAATAAAGCAATTAAAATAGAATTCCTCAGTTTCTCAAGTGTGGTGACATGTATATTTTGTATGTTTATATGAAACTCTATAGGGTAGTCTTTCAAAAGGCTGTATCTTGTTATGATGCAGATATTTGGGGGCCTTGGAGGGGGGTATGTGTTTCATTGAGCAGAATTGTTTTCCAAGGACAGTGTAAATTTGTGAAATGTTACCTGTCAGTGCATAATTTAGCCTCTTTAATATGCACATGATTGGCATACCTTCCAATAATCTATCTTTTAAATGCATACTTTGGCACTCTGTATGCATGGATATATTAAGTCAATGATGGTGGACTAATATAGCAACACTTCCTCTCTGACATTTGGGGTTTTCCATAAAACTCTTCAGTGTAAGAGTTCCTGACAAGGCTGTAAAGCTTCTCAGGATGCTGTCATATTAGACCTGTTTAGGTGCTCTTTAGCCCAAGGTCTAATGGGAACCCATAAAGTCATTTGTGTTATGACTTTCACGTTCTCCTCTCCTTGACACACGCCATCTATATCTGCTCCTTCGGAGTTATTATGGCCCATTACATCAGGGTAGCTGCCACATAAGCGCCACCACTACTTAGCCCTTATATGTAAATGTTTGCTGCAAAATGGTTTCAGTAATCACCTGCTCAGCTAGTGACACCCTCGTTATGTGACTATAGCAATTCTGAGCACCGAGGGGACAGCTGGCCAGAGATACACCCTGTAATTCCTATAGTCAAGTTAGTTTATATAAAGTTGAAGTTCACCGGCAATGCTTGGAGTTTGTGTTGCTGCTTTTTGCATTTATTCCATTGTTATATGCCACTGGCCATCCGTGAATGCTGCATTTTCTTTAGAGTGAGATTTAGGTAAAAAAAGAACCAAAGAATTCCCTTTAACAATTCTGCTTGTTCTGCTTGTTCATCTGAATGGCCTATTTAATAATTCTTTAACATCTAGTAATTCTAAATCTTTGTATATTAATAGTACCAGTATTTGGAATTCTGCTATTTCTCTTTATGCTAGTAGAATAGGGGGGAATTACATGTATTATATAGATATAATTATTTTATTTTAAATATATGTACATGTATATTTATGTGTTGTGTATGTCAAGACCATATAGCTGCTTTTTAATTTAATCTATTTCTTTTGAGTTGTTCATAGCTAAAAGTATCTCTGTCGAGGGGGATGAGTCTAAAGGGTAGAAAATGTTTAACCAGTTTATTTTAGGCTGAGATAATAATATAGATCATGTCCCTTCTTTTAGCTACATAAAACTTCAGGTAGAACAGCTTTGTCAGAAAACACAGATCAGCTAGCAACTACAATTTGTTTCAATTTGCATAAAGAGCAAACAGGAAGATCTGAACCTGTGTGTAAAGCTGAAGTGACAACAGAAAGCTATGACTTACTCTTTGTGTTTAGACAAACTTAGCTGTTATATCTCCATGCAGCACCCCAGTGGCCTAAAAATGGCAAAATTATCTGCAATTATCTCCAGCCTGCAGCTGATTTTCTGGATAAGTTAAACAGAAGCTTTGAAAGGAAACCTACAGATGGAAGAAGTCATGTACGTTTGTACAATTTATGGCTCAGAAGTGCTGATGACTGTAGAAATGTGAGCCCTTGAGTGCTGCTATGGATTTCAGAGCCAATCAAAACTAAATTAGGAAACAAAGATTATTAAAAAGACTTCTGTGTATGTAATTTTGGCATAATAATATGAGGTAAATGTTAAATGTTTCCCTTGGAGACTTCCGGCATCATTAATGCGGCATGCCTTTAATTACAAGTAGACTCATATTACTAAAAAAAAAAAAAACAAAAAACAAAAAAAAAGGGGAAAATAAAGTACTCTGAAGTATCGTTAGCAATACCCTCATTATGTTTACTGAAATAATGAAAGAAAATGTATAATTTTCCTAAAGACTGTGTCAGATTTTGAAATGAAAATGGATTTTCTTCAGGAAATTGACTAATGGCTGCTTATATTCTTGATGAGCATTTATTCAAGCACCAAAACAGGTCTATTAATGATCACTCAACATTGTGCATTTTCTTGATAGTCCCCTTATTAAGAAAAAAACTTTAATTATTGCAAGTATTGTGGATAGAGTGTATCTCATTATGTTCAAGTGGAATTTATGAAAGTAGTGGAAAACCTTCATGTTTTAAGATTTTAAGGGAACTGGTGGAGTGAGAGACTACATTCTTGTAAAGCTATCTACAAACTTAAATTTCTGATATGACATCAGCTCAGGTTGCCATCTGACACTTATCAGGTGGCCTTTGAGAAATTAATTTGATAAGCTCAATTACATTTTCAGTGACTAGGCACTAATATCAATTCCCAAAACTGGAAGTGACATTGACTTATGTGATAACTGAATAATCTTAAAAATACACTCTGTTCACATGAAACATAATTCAATAAATGAAGTTTTAATAACAGTGACATCTTTCATTTGAACTGATTTATCCCTTAATTATGGCAGAATGGAATTGTTTAAAACCCTCAGTTCCTTTATTATGAACATTTCATTGTTATTAGTTCATTAGCTAGACTTATTTCTTAGAAAAGTGTGATTTGTGTTTGCAATGAATTAAGTTCCATGAAGATTCGTCTTTCTGCTATATCACTATATCAAGTATTTCCTTGTTGAGGGGCTACAATAGCTCCTTATTATCTATTGCATCCACGTCAGAAGTACATTACCTGATTTCTAAATCGGGATATATACAACTTACTTTCCATTATTCTCCATAAGGACCTTTTGTTATCTCCAGGGGACTTAGGGATTAGACACCTGAATGGAAAGGGACTAATGGATTTGTA